GGAGGGAGGATACGGAACCCCATCATGCTGGATCTCTTTGTGACGGAGTCCTTCTGTCACGATCCACACACGGGAAACAGGGGTTAGATCCAAAAGCAGTAATTTAATAGGGTAATCCGTACTCACAAACTAGTCCAGGCAAAGGTCAAATCCAAAAGGCAATCCAAAAACAAGAAAACAAACAAGAACAGGCAAAAACAGGCTACCAGAAGTGGTGTGACAATATACAAGGACTCCGTAACAAACACTAAACAGGCAGGGTATTTATACACAGAACAAGACAATCATGATGGGGAACAGCTGAGTGCAATGAACAGTGATGAGCGCAGACAAGGATTGTGGGGAATGCAGTTCCAAACGTGAATGACACCGTGAGGAAAGAGGACCTCTAGTGGACACCAGGGAACATAAACCAGACACTGTGACATGGATGGTTCCATGAAGAACCTTTAACATCCAATCTTTCCATTCCACAAAAGGTTCTTTATAGTGGATTTTTAAAATGTTCTTCACACTAACAAAAAAAAAAGAAGTTATTTACTGTTCCCTGAAAGGTTCTTTCGGGAACCAAAAACCGGTTATTCTACGGCATCGCTGTGAAAACCACCTTTGGGACCTTTATTTTTAAGAGTGTAGCCAATCAGCGTCAGGTTCAGACAGACCTATTTGTGTTTCAGTTTGACCGATTCATTAAGAGGAACTCATTCTAAAGATAAGAATGATCTCAGTGGCAGTGAGAAAGCATAGCACACTGTTAAATGACTGGTGTGTAGCCTTTCAGCCTGGGGGCTTTGCACTGCTGCCTGCTTAATTACCGCTAACTCACTTCTTCCACACAAGCATTTTGTTCAGGAATGGCAAACACACCACAGAATTACAGTAAAGCAGAGAGTTATGTCTGCACCTCAGGCCTCCATTGATTTCAGACTGTTTTTATTGGTCTAGGGTCCCGCGTGAGCAAATATTATGAGGACCCATGCACTTTGTTTTACGGCTTTTAGTTATCATTACAGAAGTTTCTTGCTGCTATAGCTCAGTAATTTTTTGTTTTTGTTTTTTGGCAGGTATTGATATTTTGGGGCATTACTTATTTATTCTGGCACAGCCTGCATATTTGTGGCTGGCTCTCTCCATTTGCACATCTAATTGCTTTGGCAACTCATCTCTACAACTCCCGCACTCTCCCGTGCTCTTCTGTTTTCTGTTTTCAGGGAGCTATACGCACTACCAGCGAAACACGCTTGTTGTGTTCCACTGCTTTAAATAGACATGTTTAATGCCCCAAAAAAAGGATTTTCCCTATTGGTGGTCTTATATGTCAATAGTGTATTTTCTTTTTCTTTTCATTCTCTCAGCTCGTAAATTAGTGAAAAAAGTGATGTTCTCTATTTTTGCTCCAATGGGTGTTGATTCATATCAGTTTAATTAGATTATTTGGCTGACAGACAGTTAGGTTTAATCAGAGAACCGACTCTCGTGTGAGTGTGAAGTAATTAATTGCTTTAATTACATTTAGTTCCAGTCTTGGCTCTGAGGGAAGTTGTCAAAGATAACCCACATGCTATCAGAACTCAAACGTGGCAATAAAAAAACCTGGTGAGCACCAGCAAATAAACCTTTACTTAATCAAAAGAACAGTATATGGTCGTGGATTACATCACTGCTACCTCTGCTACTTGTATTTTTAGGGGCTCGTTATCTTGTATCTATGTTAGACGTGTGTGCAAAATTTAGATCAAGATCAATATTTATACCCATGAATTATGCATATTCTTGAGGTGAATTTTGCTTTAGGATAAATCAAACACATGGAAATGTGTTCCAGGAGAGCGAGTCTACGAGTATAGCACAGGCAGTTTGTGATCATCATCTCTCATCAATGTTTTGTGAAATGCGAGATAGACTTTGATTACAGGTGTTAATGTGCTTGACTCAGAGTGTACAATGTAATAATGTCTTCAAATCATTTTTACACTATATTAAGTGTCATTTTGTTCATTAACTTGTGACACTAAATATGTAATATTGTTTGAACAGTACAATAAGTAAAAAAATAAATTAAAAAACTTAATGAGAAGGCTTGTTTTTTTTTTTTTTTCCCAAAGTAGTCTTGGGGAGTAATTATATTCTGGTTGCTACGGGCAGCAACTCGCATACCCTCAGACTTGTCTCCATCCAGATGACTAGCTCCAGCCCCACTGTGCTGTAATTAATCATTACGCCAGATGCCAGTGCTTCCCCCATGAGCTCCGTCAGAGTGTGTTTAATTGTGTGTTCGTAAGTGTGTACGTGTGTCCAGTTTGCTCTTGACTCTTGCATGCCGATGTGGGAAAATCATAAAAAGAACACGAGTTGGTCATTCTCGGATGAACGGAGATACCTCCAGCTCAAGGAGTTTGTCTGCTTTCTCGCACATTCATGCTCCAGCATGCATTCGTGTTCTCATTCATATGCGGTCTGCTGCCCTCACCTCTATCTGAGCCACAAATTCACAGAGCACTTTTAAAGAGGAACCCCGGACCTCCCACTGTCATCTCCGTATGATTGGCTCTGCGGGTAGAAGAACATGGTGATTTCATCTGGTACTGAGCAGTTCTCAGGGGGAAAAAAATACCTGAAAACTCATAAACCCTCATGTCGTCCCAAACTCAAATGACCATATTTATTTAACACAAAAGAGTTATTTAGCATGCTCTCAAGTGACTTCAAAGGCCTATCTTAGACTTGCAGACTTTAGAGCAGATGGGGCAGGGAAAGGTCGGGTAGCTGTCGTTGGGTACTTGGGCAACCAATTCTTTCTTTTGTTTATAGGGATAGTTCACTTTGAAATTAATTTTTGATATGTTTTAGCTTACCTCAAGGGCATCCAAGATGTAGGTGTCTTTGTTTCCGCAGTAGTTTCAATTTTGATATTTTTAGGTCAAACCGTTCTTGTCTGTCAGTCATATAATGCAGGTCTATGGTCACCACCTCAAAGAGCATGCACAGAGAAGTCCAAATTAAACATGATTTAATGACTCGTAAATGTAAGTACACATTGATGGCCTAAGACATGAAACGAGCGGTTTGTGTGAGAAAACGAACAGTGTTTATATCGTTTTTACCTCTTGTAACCACAGCCACGTCCAAGGGATCTGAGGGCACGTGTGCTTCGGTCTGTGCGTTACAAGAGGTAAAAACGATATAAATACTGTTCGTTTTCTCACACAAACCGCTCGTTTCGTGTCTTAGGCCATCAATGTGTACTTACATTTACGAGTCATTAAATCATGTTTAATTTGGACTTCTCTGTGCATGCTCTTTGAGGTGGTGACCATAGACCTGCATTATATGACTGACAGACAAGAACGGTTTGACCTAAAAATATCAAAATTGAAACTACTGCGGAAACAAAGACACCTACATCTTGGATGCCCTTGAGGTAAGCTAAAACATATCAAAAATTTATTTCAAAGTGAACTATCCCATTATGCTTCGCTTGGGCAGTTTTCACTGTGTGTTCCTCAAATTCCATGGCAGCCTTCAATGTGATGTTCCTGATCTATCAGCTGCCAGTTAATATCAACTTGCATCAACTGTTGCTTCAGCTGATCCTTATAGCGCTTGCGTGGGGCTCCTCGATTTCACTTGCCCTGGTAAAGTTCCCCATAGAACACTGCTTTCGGCAGCCTCCCGTCATCCATGCGTAACACATGTCCTGCCCAGTGAAGCTGACGCAGTAGTAGCCTGGTCTCGATGCTTGGCAAGCCCACTTCTTCCAGAACTTCTGTGTTTGTCTTGAAGTCCTGCTAGAGTTCCCATGATGGAATGGAGACACCGTTGATGGAAGCAGGTGTCGGATGTGCACATAGTCGGATGTGCTTTCTGTGGACCAATGACTTGGAACCATACAGCAGAGTGCTGAGGACAACTGCCTTGTAAACTTGGATCTTAGTCAGCAGGTGCAATGAACGGTTTTGCCAGATGCGTTTCTGGCTTTGGCGAATCGGTGGTCCATATCCTTGTACATTGTTGCGTCATTTAAAATGACGCTTCGCAAATAGGTGAATTGGTCCACTATGTTCAGACGATGGCCATTGATGTTGATTTTGGGTGGATTATAGGTGTCGTTTGTACTCAATAACTTCAGTTTTCTTCAGGCTGATAGTCAGACCAAATTTTCTGGTAGACGAGTAACTGGAGTAACTGGTGTGTGTGTGTGGAAAGAGTGTGCAGTCATCTGCAAATAGTATCTCTGTGATCAACACTCCTGTCGTCTTGGTTTGAGCAAAAAGATGACGATGTTTTACACTACCATATACATACAATATTACCATATATACCAAATATTTAAAATTATGAATTATTATCATAATATCATAATCATTATCCATAATAATGGAAACTTAAATGGAATAGAGTTACCAAAAAATAGATTTTTTAAAATAGTTCTGACCCACATCTGGCTATGCAAAGACATCATTTTGTCATTGCAACAGATACATATAAATATACAGTTAATGGCAGCCCTAGTTGTCACTATTCTCTTTAATTGTGTAGAAAAGAGCAGCTTGGACATTCTGCAAGAGTTCCATTTTAAACTATTTAAATTGGTGAATCACATGCTAAAACAACACAGACAAACGCATACAAATAAATGACACTACCTGCAGGTGCAGTTCATTCTTAGTGGATTCCTCCTTGGAATGCAATGCAAGAACAGACCACGTATATAAAAAAGAAAAAGGCAGATCAAAGCTTTGTCTGTCTTGTGTCCTTTTCTTTTCCTCACTTCTATTGTACCAGGTGCTAGATGTTCCAGGCTGGCTAGCCTGATTGAAGTGATTGGGAGGGGGCTTAAAGAAGTCTCGCTGCACCCTCTCATCTCTCCCGCTTGCAAAGACAGTTTTTTTGTGCCGCCTGTGGTTTGGTGTGATTTCTGTGGCAGGAACATGTGAAGCACTCTTGTTGTACCTGCAGTTCGTGCACTGAATGTTTGATTGCTACCTCTCTCTTATCTCTCTCTGTCTCTTTTGCTTTGTTTTCCAGGTGTCCTCCAGGTGTCAATCTCGCTAAAAAAGGTGGAGCTGAGCGTCGGAGAGTCCAAGTTTTTCACATGCACAGGTCAGAACTCTCGCAGCATCACCTGATCATGTGTCTGACATTAATGTATATGAGATAGATGCACGACTGCACACAATTTACGTAGTGCTGACTCAAGTAGTCGTTTATTTAGGTTGAACGGCTTAAATAACGTCTCCTGTCGTAAGCAGTATGGAATTCTAGACTAAGGCTTTCTTCATGACCAAGGCAAATTGTCTGATTGTGTGTGTATGTTTGAATATATTTTTTTCTTGGACTGACAGCTGCTTTTATATTGATTGTTTTACAATATTTTTGTTTGTTTTTTTAAACTGGGTGGGGACTATCAGGGGTCTGTAATAGGTTGCTTTGAGGAAATTTTACCAAATATATTTTTAAGGGCTGGTAAATATATTACCAGGCTAACCTAAAATTTGATGTGATCAATTATGTTTATTTTGTTATGTTTATCGCAGTTATTGAATTTGATATTATTGCAGTCAAAATCAGTAATCACATTTTTTCATTATATTGACAGGCATAGTTTGTAATAGTAAAAAGCTAAATATATTACACACACACACACTGCTGTTTAAAACTTCAAGGTCAGTAAGTTTTTTATTTTTTTATTAATACTTTTATAAAGCAAGGTCCTATTAAATTGATTTTAAAAAGATTTATATTTTTTTTACAAAAGATTTATATTTAAAATAAATGAAATGTTCTTTGGAACTTTCTATATATCAAATTATGTTTCCATTTCTTAAAAAAATTTAACAGCACAACGGTTTTCAACATAATATTTTTTTTTTTCTTGCTCACGAAATCAGCATATTACAATGATTGACATTGAAGACTGCTGAAAATTCAGCATTGCCATCACAGAAATGAATTATATTTGAAAATATATTAGAATATAAAACATTTATTTTAAAGGAATAGTTCACCCAAAAATTTTAATTATTCCATCCTTCTTCAGCCTAACACAATCGGAGTTATATAAAATAATATCCTGGCTCTTCCCAGCTTTGTAATAGCACTGAATAGTGCTATTACATATAGCACATAGAGCACAATAGTGAGTTTTTGAAGCTCCAAAAAGCACATCCATCCATCATAAGAGTAATCCATACGACTCCAGTGGGTTAATAAATGGCGTCTGAAGAGAAGCAATGGGTTTTTGTAAGAAAAAATACTGGGTCAGAGGTCACCCTTCCGCCGTAAACTCGACTCTCTCTTGTGAACGTGCGTACAGCCGTTGCCGGAAGCCAGTGGTTATAGTTTATAAAGTTTTAAATATGGATATTTTTCTGACAAAATCATGTCGCTTCACTTCAGAAGGCATTTATTAACCTACTGGAGTCATATGGTTTATATGATGGATGGATGAGTATTTTGGAGCTTCCCAAACTTGGACACTATTCAATGCCATTACTAAACCAGGATGTTACTTAATATAACTCTGATTGTGTTCGGCAGAAAGAAGAAAGTCATATACACCTGGCTTGAGGGTGAGTAAATTATTGGATCATTTTCTTTCTTGGTTGAACTATTCCTTTAAATTGTAAAAATATTTCTTTTGAAAGACATAAAAAATGCACACACACACACACACACACACACACACACACACACACACACACACACACCTTAATGCATGATAATATATAGATGGTAATGTCATGTTTGGGGACCCTTGCCTTTAAAAAAAGTCTGTAGTCTAAACACTAAAATCAGTACAATTCCCTTGCTCAAAGTTACTTATCATTCAAGACCAGTAGATTGCTGCTTGTAAACCTCAGATCCTAGCCTGTCTCTTCTTGCAGACTGCAGGCAAGGTTGTGCTTGGACATGAGTATGGATATCCATGTGCACAGGGGTAGATTATGTTTTGTGGTGAAGCTGGGTGTTGTTTTTCTTTTCCACATGGCTGAGCTGCTGTAGTCAGGTTGCAGGGCTTTGCTGCATGAGCTCCAGGCACTACCTGACAGAATCCTTTAAACAGGGTGATGCATGCTGACCCCTGCTGGACTCCGTCCAGATTGCGAGTGATTAGCACACCTGGTATGTGTCTGGACTGGAGATATTATGGAGGGTGCACACATGCCCTGCAGACCTTCAGCTCAACTAGGCAAACCAGCATGCTTGCCTTCCAAAATAGCTTTGGGATATGCAGGGATATTGCTTTGATGTAGGCCTATTTATAAAGTTCTTTTTTTGGGCTACAGCAGGACAGATAAACTCTTTAATTTCTGTGCTGCATGTTATGGAAATAATTTGCTCCAGAAAAGCGAATGTTGCACATAATGGTGGATAACTGTTGAGGAATGATTAAAAGACTATTTTTTAGGAAAGAGCTAGACATGTTCAGTGCATACTGAAATAGAAAATAAACAGGTCACAGTATACAGTGTCTTTGATGTCTAAAATGGATCATAGGCTCAGTATGTGGTCATTTAGTGGATTATTTTATGTACAGCGACAGAATGAAATAAAATTGATATTGTCAAATGGCTTAATGCAATAGTCATATCATAAAGGCTTTTTTTTCCCTCAGAATTGCGTGATATAAACTCACAATAGTGTGTAATAAATCCGAATTACGAGATATACTCGCAATTCCAAGGAAAAATGTCAGAATTGTGAGTTTATATCACGCATTTTGACTTTATGACTTGCAATTGTGAGTTTATATCGTGGGAAAAAAAGTCAGAATTGTGAGATGTAAACTTGCGATTGCAAGAAAAAAAGTCACTGTGGCAATGTGACCTATACTGTGACACAAGTGGCATAATTATTATTATTTATTTTTTTTACTTGCTGAAAGAGGTTTGCATTGAGTCTTGTAAAGAGAATACCCTATGAACACCCACACTTTTCCGTTAACAAAAAAGTAAAATAATTTTTATGTTTTACGCAAAATCGTGCAGTCCTAACAGTGACTGACAGTACTCTTTTACTGGGACAAGTAGGTTAAGTGTCTGGCTCAAGGGCAGAGTGTTAATATCTCATGAATCCCCCCCCTTGCCAAGCTTGAACCTTCAAGCTTTTGGCTGCCAGCCTATACATCTATAACCAATACACCATACCATATATTAAAACTAAACTTCATTCACAAGCAAAAAAAATTGAATGTGACCAGCGAAGTGCGCTAAGCTTTGTCCCTGAGCCCTTCAACCCCTAACATCTCATCCTAACCCCTTCAGCAACTCCTCCGTGGTCCAGCGTCTGCTGAGTGGACTGAGATTATACTGCCATGTCCTCTCCTTGAACCCCTTACGTCCCGCAGATCATCCTCTGCTCCTTCGCTGATAACCCCCTGCCCGCTCTCAGCGTCTCTCCCCTGGCAGAGCTGCATCACAGGGCCGGTTGCATCCTCGGCCGGCCCGTCTTCCTGGAGCCGCAGTCTCACGCTCCCCCGTTGTGCAGCCGAAGGCCCCTGTTGTGCAGTTGATTGATGCTTTGAACGGAGAAGTGCTGCACCATGCTGATGCTTTTTATGACCTTCCAGCAAAGCAGGATTTACAGCGCCAAGCACCTTGGTACCAAATGTGGGTCCGGCCAGCCAGTCTCTGCAGGGCAAAGCGCATGACGGGTTTTGTTTATCGCTGTGTGTGTGTGTTTGAGAGACAAAGAGAGAGTGTATGCCACTACCAGAGGCTTAAGAGATATCATTAAAGGGGAAGTTCTGCACCACTAGCAGCACCAAATGGAATGGCAGTGAAACATGTCCAGTTCTTTCCCTTTGGGTATGAACATACTGTATTTGGGCTGCATGGTATATCAAAATAAAATCAATATCACGATATGGCTTTGTGTGATTGTCAAATATATGTGCTATTGTTTTCAGAGTGAAGCGGTTTCTGCATGGGTGTAAATGAACACACAGTGCCACACTTCATTCTGAAAACGGCAGCGGATATTTTTATTCATTTCATATCCGTCAGAATGAAAGCTTGATGGTTTACTAGTTTGAAAATGAGATTAAGACATATATATATATATATATATATATATATATATATATATTTGTATTGTAATTTTACAGTAAAATGCAATCATTTTTATTATAGTACATTAGTATTATTAAAAATGTTTCTTATTTTGTTTTGTTTTTTTATTTAACAATAGTTATTATTATTATTATTATTATTATTATTTTACAGTCATATTGAATTGGTCAAAAACAGTGGCAATTTGTCCCATGAAAACTTAAGTGGAAAGAGATTTTTGTTTTGGTTACTGAAAGAGTTGGTTCTTGGAAAAAGCAAACCCTGTATGAACTCCCAATTAGTTTTTTTTTAGTTTTTTTTATTTATTTTTTATCATTCAGCCCACAAGGATTTTGAAATCTGTGTAGGTCACATTTCTGCTTTTTTTATTTGATCTATTTTATTATTTATTTTATGCAGATGCACTCCCAAAATCACCCTACTCACTCTAGAATGAATAATTGAAAATTTCTGTATCTTTTCATACAGCAATAAATATCGCAGGGGAAAAAAACGAAATATTGCAATGTCAGTTTTTTCCAATATTGTGCAGCCCTATGCTCTATCAAATGCTGTGCAATATTGTCAAGTAGTAATTTACACTATATTCTGTACCGCACTATGACCGTAACCGTGTGTGTGTTTGTAGTGATCGGGGAGCCTGTGAATCTGGACTGGTATAACCCACAGGGGGAGCGGATGGTCCCGTCTCAGCGGGTGGCACTGCACAATGAAGGTATCCGTTCCAGACTCACCCTCTACAATGCCAAAATAGAAGACGCTGGAATCTATCGGTGCCAGGCCAGCGATGTACAGGGACATACAGAGGAGGCCACTGTGGTGCTGGAGATCTACCGTAAGTATCAAACACACAAATATATCTGCTCATACACACTTTTTATTGCCGTCATGGTTTTATAACTTTGCATACTGTATGTAGATGCGTTTGAAATAGGATCAGATATTAACGGGGACTTGGGGTAAAATACCAAACATATCCCATAATGTAGCAACACAAAATGCCCTTTGAATAATGAATTCCTCTGTTTTTAGTTGTAAAGTTTTTATATACACTAAAAAGATTACAAGATTTTGCAATTACATTAAGCCTTTTAACCACAACTTTTCCTTGTTAAAAAAAACTTGAATACCTAGAATGTTACTGTAAAAAATAAGTAGAATAAAAAAAATAAGATTGAGAATTATATTGCATTATCTTAATTAACAATGTTGAACAATCAGCAGAAATCCATTTTATGAGTTTATATTTGTGTATTTAATTAACAATGTTGAACAAGCAGTAGAAATCCATTTTATGAGTGTATTTGTGTATTTTAATTTTGGTCTAGATGAATACATCAAATTATTTAGTGTTTCTGAACATACTTGAGTAATATGTCAGATTAGTTCTGCATTAATATGGAATATTTGATTAATAAAAAAACTACAACCACTAATTTATATATATTAGTGGTTGTAGTCTTTTATATATATATATATATATATATATATATACAGTATATAATATTAAAATCAGTACGGTATTTTTTACTAAAGAAATTGTTTATTTCGCAAATTGATAAAATTGATGTGACGCGACAGTATATAATGACAGTATAAAGACATTTATAATGTAACAAACGGATTTTGATATCAAACAAATGCTGTTCCTTTGAACTCTCATCAAAAAATCCTAAATATAGGCTATCACTGTTTCCACAAAAAAAATAAGCTGTTAATATTTAACTGTTTTCAGTTTTTCTGCAGAAAATTCAGCTTTGCCACCACAGGAATAAATTACATTTGAAAATATATTTAAGTAGAAAACAGTTAAATTTGAATTGTAACAATATTTCACAATATTACGCAGTTACTGTATTTTTGATCAAATAAATGCAGCCTTGTTGCACATAAGAGTCTTATTTCAAAAACATTACAAAAAATCTTACTGACCCCAAACTTTTGAACAGTATTTTCGGTACTACATTGACGAGTGAGGATCAGGAAATGTCATGAGCCAGAACTGAACTTGCATCGCCTGAATGAGCACCGCAGCTCAGTTAGCCATAGAACAACAAATCGTTAAACATTAATGCTAAAGTGTTTACTGTATATTGCTTGTGTTTGGAGACAGAACCAATTAGAGAATTTAGATTCTAAATCGCCTGTGATTCAACACCGTGGGGCTCTTCAGCATGAAAAGCAAGCAGCTTTTTCTCCCACCTGCTCATGGCACTCGGCACACAGAATCCACCCAGGGGACACGAGGCTTCATGGCACGCCTGTGGTCTCTGAGCAGTGGGGATGCTGTCCCTTTCAACGTCCCATCAGTGTCAGAGACCATAGACTCACATCTGTGCTGAGAAACCAGACAGAGATGCTTAGATAATTGTCTTTCTTTCTTTTGCTCTATTTTACAAATCAGCAGAAAAAATAAATCAGCAAAGGGTTCTCATGTGGGCAAGTAAAGTTGTGATAGTGAGGTTTTCATTTCAATTCACCTATTTTCGTTGGATGTATGTGTTGAAATGGCATCTAAGGCACACTTGTGTGTTTCCTAAAAAGTTTGTTTTGTCTCCAATGACACATCATTCCAATTTCGATACAATATATATATATATATATATATATATATATATATATATATATATATACTGTATATATTTGTATGCATCTCAAGAAGAAAAAAAGATTCAGTTACCCTCCATCTGTCCTCATTTGTTCTCTTTGGAGATTAGATTTGATGCAAACTTGTACCTCGAATGATCATACATTTGCATTGAGATTTATTCAGCATATTAAAAGGAAGCATGCTGTTACATGTCCCAGCTATAAAAGCAATTCAAGAGTACTGTATATTGATGCAGATTACAATGGAACAACATCTTGGCACAACTATTTGGGAATCCATTACATGGCAAAGGACATTATGTGTGTTAGCACAAAAAAACCTTCCACCATTGGAAAAGCTGCCATTGAAATAGCTGTTTTGATTTCCCTCTGAATAGGACATCCAAAAGCTTTCAAAGAGAGAGCCTCACAATGCAGGGGAAATGGACGTGTTCCATCCGAAGATGTTTGACAAATCTGTTGATGTAAAGCTAAATGTAATTCCCCCAACAACGAGACAGCTGCCGCCACACGACAGGGAGAAAACCAGCATTAGTGATAGGGGAAAATCGACAGGGATAGGGGGATGACTTCACTATAAGAAAGAGATAATAGTTGTGTTGTGGTCACAACCAAATTGAATACTCCTTACAGTGGTGCATTTAAAGCAGTAGTTTCTACTGTGGAACAAACAGGAGGAATTTTATAGAATGTTGCTGTATTTTTTATTAAATTATAATAAATTATGAATAGCTTTCAAGTTAATAAAAAAGTACCAAAAGTGCCAAAAAAGTATCATAACTATGAATTGTGTACTATATTTCAAGACTTGTGAAGTCTATAGTCTATGTAATCTTCTCCTAGTGAGCTGAGCTCTTAAATAGTTCACTTCAAAATGAAAATTCTGTCATCATTTACTCACCCTCAAGTTTTTTCAAACCTGTATGAATTTCCTTCTTCTGCTGAACACAAGTTGAAGATATTTCGAAGAATGTTGGTAACCAAACAGTTGATGTACACCATTGACTTCCATAGCAGGAAAAAAATACTATGGAAGTCAATGGGGTACATCAACGTTACAGACATTCTTCAAAATATATTCTTTTGTGTTCAGCAGAAAAAAAGAAATTCATACAGGTTTGAAACAACTTGAGGGTAATTAAATGATGACAGAATTTTCATTTTGAAGTGAACTATTCCTTTAACCTAAGAGCCAGTGAGTTTACTACAAAAAGTGATTTCCTAGTATGTCTCGTTTTCCAGGACAAATATCAGTAGCACTTTATAAGTATACAGTAATGAAGTACTTATAAATCATTTGCAAACTACTATTTTATAGTTAATTCATAGTTGATATACTGTAGCCTCTACATTAGTATATTAATAGGTTTTATAAATAGTGAGTTATTCATTCACTGTGACTGTAATTAACAAACTTATTATTGTTTAATTAGCTCATAGTTAAATAATGTTTTATGCTTTGTTAACAACTTATTAACCATCTAAGTTATTCCTTTGTTAAACTTTTGAAATTAATGGGGAAGAGGTAATAAAGAACGAGTCCCAAGCACAGACAAAGTGGGGGGAAAAAAGAAAAAGGTGCAAGGGTGAGGAAATCTTTCTTTTAAAGGGACCGACTTCAAAGGCTTGAAACACAGGGGTAAAACAAGTCTACATGAAATGTTCACCAGAAATTCTCTTTCTTTTTTTAATGTACAGGAATGATATTTTAATCCTCAGTGTGTATAATTAGTGGATGTTGCAAAACTTCCAGGAGATATTTCACAAGCTTGCTTCTCTGTGGCTGACTTTGTACCAGGCTTGGCATTTGCCTGTTCCATTAGAAGTTGAATTTGGAGCAGTGGGAGCCGTGTGTAAACAGACATGACTCACAGATCAATACGCAGAGCTGCTGCGCTGATGAGGGTGTGCAGCATTTCTCAGCCCTCTGAAGACACATTTCCTTATACTGCGCTGGAGCAGCTGTTTACACCAGCTTCCCACACAAACAGAATGTGTCTGTGAATTGTGAATAATCAGAGACTATGTAGAAGCACACCTGATTTATGACAAGCAAGACGTAGATGTTGACATGTCCCTTGTTTTCCGTTGATTTTTCTTTGGTTTTCTCACTGGGGGTCTGAACTAGGATTCCAAAGCCCTCGTGTTGTTTCTTTCATCTACATACATCTAGGGTTTCAAGTGATAAAAATCAAATCTGTACAACTTCCACCCAACATACAACCCCATCCTGAACAATTAGCAGTATCCAGCTTAATGGACAGGTTTGTTTGTGTTTTATATTTCATTAAAGAGTTGCACATTATAGAGAGGAGGAAATGGTACACAAGGTAGAATAGAATTTGCATCTTCCACATAAGCACTATGACACCATATCAGAGCATGTGCACTAACAACTTAGCCGTGGCTCAGACAGACACATATGTGTTCAAAGCCTGAAAATGCTGTCTTATCACATGATCAAAGTCAACTTTATTGTCATTTTTAGCACATCACATGGCAATGGATAAAACCAAGCACAGTTCCTTCAGGAAACAACAGTGACTAATAGGAGACAACACTAAATATGGACAATAAAAAAGAATTACAAAATTACAAAATAAAAACAGAATTGACCGTTAAATAAGTAGGTATAAAGTGTAGCAGCAGTGGGATATGATTAATTTGAAGTACTAAGATTATATAGGATATGCTTTTGAGTGAGGTTGAGTGTAGTTATTGTTACGTCTTTGGTTTAGGTATGATAGGTATGATGGTATGATGATTAATATAAAATATTTAAAATATATATAATAATTTAATATACACTAATGGTCAAAAGTTTGGAAACATTAAGGTTTTTAAAGGTTTTTGAAGGTAGTCTCTTAAAGGTGCCGTAAGTGATTCTCTGCAGAATTTTTTTTTTTTATGCTGGTTGAAAGTCTCCTCATATCCGGATAGCAATCACTCTGTTAATCGGTCTAAATGTATTTATAAATATATGTTGTCTGTGGAAGGCGTAGTACCATAAAATGTAAAACGTTCAATCGTTGCGTTCGGTTCGAACTGTCATAGCATGTGTTCCCTGTCGGTCAATGTGTGTTTGCATATACCACCGCGCTGCCTGTTCACACAGACATACAGTAATAAGTCATCAGCACGTTCAAGTACGCTGTGCAGACAGAGTGAGAATGGCAGGCAAGCAGCAACAAACTAACTTTTCTTCTGAACAGACAAGTGGCACTGGCAAAGGATCTACGATCTATATATCTTCATCGGAGCCAAGCAGACTATCATTGTGGAAACCCTGTCATGCAAGATATATGATTACACACTGACAAGTTTTGCTAGCTAAACAAACTGAAAGCTTGCTGCATCTAATTCTGTTTTTAAGAATTTATTTACGTTTGGTATTGTGGTGTTACTAACTGTACTATAAAGTTTTCTCACCGGTGAATGACACATGATATTGGTATTGGAGTAAAGTTGTCTCTGGTCTTTTCATGCTTTCAGGATGCGTGGCTTTGGACGGTGATTTGCAGGGAGGGTGGGACGTACGCTTTTAGTGCTATCAGGCTAAAGTTAGCATTTTCCAAGATGTCCTACAGCACCTTTAATCTCTCCAAGGCTGATCAAAAATACAGTAAAAATAGTAATACTGTGAAATATTATTACAATTTTAAATTAACTGGTTTCTCTTGTAATATATTTTAAAATCTAATTTATTCCTGTGATGGCAAAGCTGAATTTTCAGCCATTACAGTCTTCGGTGTCACATGATCTTTCAGAAATAATAGAATTAGCACAGAATCAACTTTGCACTGCTGCCCGTGCATCTTGACAAGCGGATGTTTTGGAAAGTGCTGCGGCAAGTTTTTGTGCCATCTAGTGGTTTAGAGGAAAATAAAACCAAAGGCGCCTTTTACCCTGGTACGCCTTTAGCCCCGTTGTACCCTATACAAGTAGCCTTTTACGTTATCTTTCTCCTCCCTGCTCCACAGAGAAGCTGACGTTCAGAGACGTGAGGTCTCCCCAGGAGTTTCGACAGAGCGATGTGGCTGAAGTGGTCTGTGATGTCACCAGCTCACCCGTGCCTGTGGTCTCCTGGTTTTACAACAACGTGGAGATCATTGAAGATACTGAGAGTAAGTAATCTGCCATACCGGCTTTAACAACTATATTGTTTTAAGATAATTGCTAGAATATAGATATAATTGTCTGTGAACACTTGAATTATTGAAAGTTAACGTAGAGTTCATGCTGCTCTGGATATAATTTGAGGAAGAGAAAAAGAACGAAAAAAGGAATAAATAAATGCCAAAAGTATTGTCATTGTAAAGGATTTAAGGCCTACTTTTACTGTAAGACTTTTAAAATGTTATTCCCTTTCACGACTCAGTGTTGACAAGTGTTAACAAGCATATTAGTTGAAAAAAAATCTGCGTTTTATGTAAATGTCATTTCTGCCAGCAATAGCTTCTTTGAAGGCAAAATTAGCCTGTCATTAACACCATCAAATATTTTGTTCTCCAGAGTTTCAACTCTTACAGAACAACAATCTGCAAGTCCAGAGAGTAACTAAAGCAGATGAAGGAGTGTATCGCTGCGAGGCCAGAGTCGAGGCCAGGGGAGAGATTGACTTCCGGGACATCATCCTGGTGGTTAACGGTGAGTTTGGGAAGATATGTTCAGCACACAGGTGTGTAAGAAGCTGTAGGATCCAGTAGTCTTTTTTGAGATCTTTCAGTTTAATTATTACATTTTATTAATAATCCCAATTTTCAGGTGAACTATTCCTTTAAACATAAAGTCATTCCAGCCCTATCTTTCAGACGAAAGCCGTGCGTATCCTGTTATCTCAATGACATTAGCCCTGTTCGCTCTGATGGGAGGGAAACGGCACAGTGACATCACCCTGTCTGCATGTCCTTGTATAATGCAATGATAGTGAACATGAACGGGTGTCTGTTTAGTTTACTTCTGATATTTTCCTTGCTGATCCAATCATGGTGCTCAATGACGCATGACCGATAATCCTGCCGACATGACAACACATATCAGAGGCTGACATAAAATAAATGCCACTCTGCGGGGCTGTTCAGAAGCCCCTGGTCAGATAAGTGTTAGATAGGGAATACAAAATTAATATGTCTTTGTCCTCTAGGAGACGTTTTGATCTTTTCGAAGTTAGACTCATTTGCTGGACACGTGTTGTTGGACACTTTGAGATGACTTTGAAATGCCCAGGCCATACATACTAAACAGCATCGCTGTAATATCTTGTGGCTTTAATGTGTGAGTAAAGCTGCAGAGAGCTTAGCTTTCCTGTGGCCCCTTCATGATGTGTGTATGTTAATATAGATATGAATAGAAATGGAATGAAAATGACTGTTCAAGAAGTAGAGAGGATTTCCCAAGCAGGAGTTTTCATTCAATTAGTTTGCATAAACAAGTGACACTGGAATGTATTTTTAATATTGTTATTAATTGTTGTTATTGGTGTTGGAAGTCACATTTTTATTTGAAGTTGTCACATGGTTAAATGTTGAGAAATGTTCACTATAATTGGTGTACATAATAGGGGAAATAATTATTTGATCCCCTGCTGATTTTGTAAGTTTGCCCATTTACAAAAAGAATGATGGGTCTATCATTTTTATGGTAGGTTTATTTTAAAGGATAGATACAGAATATCAACCAAAAAATCCAGAAAAAAAAACATTATATAAAGGTTGTAAATTGATTTGCATTTCAGTGAGTGAAATAAGTATTTGATCCTTAGTACTTGTGGAGAAACCTTTGTTGGCAAGCACAGAGGTAAGACGTTTCTTGTAGTTGGTCACCAGGTTTGCACACATCTCAGAAGTGATTTTGGTCCACTCCTCTTTACAGATACTCTCTAAATCCTTAAGGTTTCTTGGCTGTCACTTGGCAACTCAAAGTTTCTGCTCCCTCCACGGATTTTCTACAGAATTATGGTCTGTAGACTGGCTAGGCCACTCCATTACCTTAATGTGTGTCTTCTTGAGCTACTAGTTTGTTTTGCTACTATGTTTTGGGTCATTGTCATGCTTGAAGACCCATCCACAACCCATCTTCAATGTTCTGGCTGAAGGAAGGAGGTTCTCGTCCAAGATTTGACAGTACATGGCCCCGTCCATCGGCCCCGTTCTCATGATCATCCTTACCCCATGAGGCGAGATCTTGCATGGAGCTCCAGACCGAGGGCGATTGGTGGTTATTTTGTATTTCTTCCATTTCCGAATAATGGCACCATAGTTGTCAGTTCTCACCAAGCTTCTTGCTGATGGTCTTGTAGTCCATTCCAGCCTTGTGCAGGTCTACAATCTGGTCCCTGACGTTTGACAGCTCTTGGGTCTTGCCCATGGTGGCGGAGAGGTTGGAATGGAAGATACAGATTCTGTGCTGGACAGGTTTCTTTTATACACATAACTAGCTGATATTAGGAGTACTTTCTTAAAGTGACAGGGCTAATCTGTGTTACACATGGGCACATAACCAATCTGTGGGAGGCAGAATTCTTGCTGGTTGGTAGGGGATCAAATACTTATTTCACGCGATCAAATGCTAATCAATTTATCACCTTTATATAATGTGTTTTTCTGGATTTTTTTTGGTTGATATTGAATAATAGACCCTTCATTTCTTTGTAAGTTTGTAAACTTACAAAATCAGCAGGGGATCAAGTAATTATTTCCCCCACTGTAGATATATCAGGGACATTATGGAAATGTTTGCTCTTTCATGGCTTTTCATAGCTCAGAATAGTTGCTTTATCTTCTTTTCAATGGTGTACTGCTTAATATTTTTGTGGAAACTGCATGTTTTTTTCAGGATTTTTCTATATTTCAAATAGTAAAGACATTAATAATGTTACAACAAAACAAAATTATGTCACTGATCAATTTAATGTGTCCTTACTGAATAAAATTATTAATTTATTTTCAAATAAATCTTACTGATGCTAAAGTTTTGAACTGTAGTGTAGCACAAATCATTGTACAATTATCAGAGAGCTTTAATTAGATGTTTCTTGGTCAGTATACACAATTTGAAACATTGTTGGGATCTCATCTAAAACTATAAATGATCCATTGGTGAGATTATTGCTTTCTATTACAATGAGAAAAATGAAGAAGCAAGAACCTTAAGCAGCATTTGCTCTATTGTCTTAGAGGAACAATTGCGATATTAAAGAGATCTCAGTGGTTTTCTTTCCTACAAGATTTTTTTTTTTTTTTTTAATTACAATCATTTCTATTTCATAAGTGTTCTTACTGTCCTTCAAAATAACTGCTTTAGTTTATAGTCATTTTATTTATAACTGGATTATTAGTAGGGTTGGGTACCGAAACTCGGTGCCAATAGGGAACCGGTTCCGACGTAAACGGTAGTAACCAGACCGAATAAGAAAGAAAATTTCGGTGCCTGATTTCGGTGCCTAACTTCATTAGGCACACACGCGCACACACACACACACAAGGTCTCTCGCTCTCTCTCTCTCCGCCGTGCGTGTGCTACACAGTTTGGAGCACAGTTTCTTCTGTCTCGCATGCGCGCTCTTTCTCGCAAGGTTTGGCTGCATTTCACGTGTAAAATTACGTGTCAGAACGCCCTCTGGGTGTGCCGATAGTCAACGCATTCTCACCCCAAGGCGTCACTAAAATGACCATTTTGACCATGCTTCAATATTCGACGCTTTAGGCACCCTTTAGCGTCAGTTACATGACGCGATCCTAGGGCGTCATCTTACTGACGCTTTACCTAAGCGTCAGTTAGATGACGCGGGTAGGTTTAGGTCTGGGGTAGGGTTAGGATTAGATAGCGTCATCTAACTGACGTTAAAGGTAAAGCGTCAGTAAGATGACGCCCTAGGATCGCGTCATGTACCTGACGCTAAAGGGTGCCTAAAGCGTCGAATATTGAAGCATGGTCAAAATGATTCCCAAGGCGTCAGTTTCATGACGCCTAGGGATGAGAATGGGCTGCGATAGTCTGAATCCCATATAGAATCAAGCCAATTCATTGGCTGATGGCGCCGCATCGACGCACTTACGTCGTCATACTATGCTGTCGCGCGCGCGCCATCTGCTCCTCAGATTTCTCTGCCGAAAAAGGAAGCTGGTCGGCAGCGCGAGGAGCTTGGCTGCGTCCCGTTCCCTATTGAGAGATATGTTACACCAACCAGAGATGTTCTCTTTCATAGGTTCACTCAACGCTGCGTAGCTAAGAAGCAGTGGATTTGTATTTGTAGGCTGCTGTATCACGTGCCGTTTGAACTGACGCGCTACAGCGATCTGTCACATTTCAAAGAGCCAAAACGTTATTTATTGTGTGAATCTCGTAAAAATATTGACAGAATCTGACAGCTGTGGATTTGTTCCATATCAAAAGTAACCTTCTCTGTATTGTCTGTCAGTGTCCTCTTTGTCCGCGATTTTTCTGTGTGAAAAGGGTCATTTGCGTGAGTCTCACGGTCAATGCGTGAGAGTTGGCAGCTCTGCCTGCTAGTAATCTCTATTAATCTCCAGTATTATTACATTGTTTGATACAATATGTTTCATTTGATATTATGTAAATATGAATTTTTATTTTATATTGGTTTTATTATTACCATATGTTACTTGTATTTATATTGTTTAAAGATTTAAGTTAATATTGTGTCCAGTTTGGCCCTGTAAATTAAAGGGTATTATTTTTTGATAAAGTGTGTGCGGTTTCATTTTCTTAAGTACCGATTTAAGAACCGTTTAAGCACCGGAACCGTTTAAAAAATACCGAGTAGGTACTGGAATCGGATAAAACCCAAACGATACCCAACCCTAATTATTAGCCTTTGAAAGCATGTAGTTATTGGTACTAAAGGTCAATTCAGTCTGTATCAGATGGTTTGCTGGCTTGATTTGATGTCTAAATGCCCAATTGTGTCTCACATTAGCAGAGCTGTTTCAGTTGGGCATGCGTATCTGGGAATAGGTTAAATTAGATTACTGCCTTTGGAAAATAGGCATCGATTGGCAAGAAAGTCAATGATAATCTTGTTGAAACCATTTCGGTGCATGATAGCCCAGTGCTGTGTGTGTGTGTGTGTGTATGTGTGTGTGTGTGTGTGTGTGTGCGCGCGCGTGCGTGCGTGCGTGCGTGCGTGCGTGTGTGTGAGAGTGTGCACGCACGTTTCCTCTGACTCTTACCAGAGTTCCACAGTGTGTGTGTAAATTTAAAAGGATATTTCACTGAGAAATTAAAATTCTGCAATCATTTGATGATGAATTTTATTTATAATGCACTATACATTTGACATCAAATCTGAAAGTGCTTACAAAAAAAAAAAAAAAAAATTTAAAAAAGAAACAAAACAAAATTATAAATAAATAAAAAAACAATACGCAGACACTTAAAATACTTTAAAATACGCTTTTCTAAAAAGATAAGTTTTCAGTTCTTTTTTTAAAATTTCCGTAGTCTTGGGAGCTCTGAGTTGTTCTGGAAGGGCATTCCACAGACGAGGAGCGGATGCTTTAAAAGCCCTGTCGCCCATAGTCTTAAGCCGTGTCCTAGGTGTAACCAGGAGGTGCCGTTTGCCTGCTCTGGTCCGGGTGGAGGTGTGTAGGGAAAGGAGATCAGTGAGGTATGTCGGGGCCGCACCG